ACGGCTCTGTTCATCGCCGAAATGACGTATGGGAGGCACTTTTTGAACTTTCTTTCATTTCACGCCTTCAAGTACTGTGCCAAGCCATCCGCAATCGTCTGCATTTGTCTCTCCACTTGGCCTTGACCTTCTGGGTGATACGCAGTTCCAAACGTATGTTTAATCGACCGAAGCGAAGCGAAGGTCCTCTATGTTCAAGAAAACGGGAATTTTTGTGCGTCGGTCACGCACGTCGGTCACGCACTAAGTTGTCGGTCACGCCCTAAGAAGTTAGGGCGTGACCGACGCTTAGGGGCTCTTAGGGGGGACATCTAGGTGCTTAATACTACTTACGTAATACAGCGTAGGGAAACCGCAATTGTGTGAGCAAGCAAAGTAATCAGCTTCTTCAAAGAAATGCTGAGCCAAAGCATTAGTGACACGACGGTGTGATGGTTTGTTTGACCAACGGCCTTTGTCTTTGCATGCGGCACGCATTCACCCGCCATCCCAGAGTCATCCGCCTTTCATTTGTTTTACTCAGCTGTCCAGCTGAACATTCTAGACATAGCGCAACAAAACACCGTAAACTTTGAATGCGCTTCCGGAGAAATTAAACTTAATCGAATAACAAATCAACGCTTTATAAAAAAATTGAGTGTAAAATGTCATTAAATCGAGCTGTCTCTTGAGCTTACCACACACACCGATTTTGGATATCATTGAAACTACCAGAGTTATAACGGTAAACGTTCAGGGGGTACCACCCCAACACCCCAAAAACAGTTTTGAATATTTTAAGTTTTTAAATGAATCGATACTTCTATTCAAATTTCCTGTGTGTGAAAAGCTTTTACAATGTTTCTGCACAAGATAGCGTTTCCAGATTATTTTTTTACCAAACAGCGCTTAGTGAATTTAGCCTAAAATTTTTGACTTTAAAACCATATAACTGATTGAGTGAAAGTAAAACAATTTTTTTGCCAACGTAGTAGTGTAGAATGATCATCCCTCTGAGTCTTCTTTACATTCACACAACTCAAAATCGTATCTTGACAGCGTCATACGAGTTGCCGCAAAATGACCAAATCGCAGGCATCCTCGCGTTAAGGCAAAACACCAACGGGCATACTTACGTGCTTATACGGTCCCAAGATCACGTTCTACTAAGCACAGTACAATTTAATACAATGTCTTCAGACTAACTACCAAGTAACAGCGCATAGCTTACTAATTATCAGCTAAAACGATAGTCGACCCTTTGTATTCAAAAAAATAAACCCTTATCTTTTTTTCCGGTAGCATATTTACCACTGAGGTTAGAAGTCCACCGTTCTAGGCTTGCACTATAAGACCGCACCGAAGCTTGGGAGTCGGATCAGTAAATGAGAGCAGTACATAATGTAACCATGCAAAGTCCTACGTTCAGCATGATTTAATTCTCTTTGCTATGAAAGAATGGATTGGCAGGTGTGTAAAAATATATAACGGAATAACATTTACCAGAATTATTATTGTGTTTGCTGGAGCCCCGCAGCTTCTACACAAGGTTGCTTATTCATAGCCAGGTATAGACCGTATAGTAGTAAGTAGTTGTGCTAATATTTCATGCATCCTATACTAATTAATAAACGTTGCTATAGGAATGTGAGGAAACGTACTTTGCTAACTAATATTATATTCAAAAGGCCTTCTCGTATCACTTGCAGTTTAAAGAGAGCGGAATGTACGATTGCAACTTATCGTTAAAAAGACAAGCGTCGCTTACTAGCGCCTTCAGCAGTAAGCGGCGTTAGTACTCCATGCACCTTGTACTGACAGTGAGTCACGAACGTCAGTTGAATGTTACGGAAATACGTTCTTGTAACCAATATAGTACTGTTGCGGCTCCACCAAGTTGTACCACAGAGTTTGTATACGGGAAAACAGTACCCAGAGTGTGTGTATTAATTGTGCACGCGATGCATGGGCATGCACACGCTGCGCGAGTGCAATTTTCCCGTACACAAACTCTGTGGTATAACTTGGTGGAGCCGCTACAGTACTCAAGGACTTTGTTATATTACTTACATTATACAGAATAGTGGGTACGGCAAGTACTGTTCCAATGTGAGCAACTACTTACACTTATGTCTTAGTACGAGTAGTCTTTGCAAGCAGACCTGAACGTGTGACCTTTTGGGTTATATTCCCCTTTACTGTTCCTAGCTTCGCTTCGGTCTTATAGTGCTAGCCTAAAGCGGTGCACTTTCCTAGTCTTAAAGACGTTGGTGACCTTTGTCAATACTTCAGCTGTGAAGCGCCGTCCACGATCCGTATGTAGGATATGCGGTGCGCCATGTACCAATATCACGTGCTTGACGAACACTTTTGCGAACTCCTTAGCCGTTGCCGTTTTCATCGGTACCGCAATCACGTACTTCGTCAGCTGGTCAATGAATACCGCTATGTACTTATATCCACGTTTCTTCGTCGGTAGCAACGGTCCTTTAAGGTCGGCGTATACTCGGAAGAACGGATGTTCAACTTTTATTTCTTGTAATTTGCCCGGTGGACATTTCCTTGGCGTCTTGCGGAATTGTCATCCTTGACAGGCAAGTATGTAATTCTTTACGTCTGTACTCATTCGATCCCAATAATATCGGAGTCGGATTGCTGACAATGTCTCTTCGAAGCCCAGATGTCCTGCCGCCTTTTCATCGTGCAATGCGTGAATTATCGCCCTTCGCACTGACAATGGTACCACATATGACCTTTCAAGTTTCCCATTTTTATCCTTTACTCGGTACAATATGCCATTCCACAATTGGTAATGAACTTCAAATTTTGATCTTGTTTCCGCATCCGGTAAGTGTTCCAGCTCATCGATTATCATTGCCAAATGGGGATCGTACAGCTGTTTGTTTCGTAGTTGCAGATTCGAGTCATCCTCTTCCTCTTCGTCACCTTGCAAGTTAACGATACGAACTGTCGCCGTGCTAAGTTCGTTCCAATCCCGGATGACCTTACAGCGCGGTAGCGGTTTATATCTCTTTTTCATCTGCTTCGGGAATCTTAACAACTTAATCGGACATTCATTCAACGCTTGGGCCACTTTGTCCGTTTCCCAAAGGTCATCTTGCTTCTCCGCTGATGCGTCAAGTCCGGTGACCTTTCCGTTTTGAGCTTCAGATCCTGTTCCGGGTCCGGTGACCTTTAAGTCACTAAGGGCGGGCAACCAGCTTTTCACCCGATTCGCGTTTACTCCGGTTTAAGCCGACTCCTTCGCCGTAGCTGAACTGACCTTTAGACGTTTCTCTCTCTGTTCCACCATCTGTAGAAACAACTGCCCAATTTCAGTTTCTGGTTCTTTCGTATCAAATTCCTTCTTGTAATCTTCAGAGTTAGGGATTTCGTCAAATTCTTCTTCTTGGCCAGTTGGACCTTCAATTGGCGCTCTTGATAATGCGTCCGCGTTATCGCAATATTTCCCTGGTTTATATTCAATCTTGAACTGGTGACCTTGTAGTGCCATTGCCCATCTGGTCAAACGCTTATTCATTCCAACTTTATTCGTCTCTGACCTTAATAGGTCGGTCAGCGCCTGGTGATCCGTTCTTACGGTGAATTCCGCGTAATCAATAAATGGCTTGAATTTCCTGACAGCAAACACTAGTGCCAGACATTCCCATTCCGTTACGCCGTAGTTCCTTTCAGCTGCGTGTAAGACGCGACTCGCGTACGCGATCGGATGACCTTCTTGTGAGAGGACGGCTCCTATTCCCTCTTTACTCGCGTCACATTCAATGACAGTTGGTTTTGCGGGGTCAAATTTCGCCAATACTGGGCCCTCACATAACAGCTGTTTCAGACTGTTGAATTCTTCTTCACGTACTTTATTCCAATCCTTTTTCACTTGTTTGTCTTGTCTGAGTAATTCGTACAAGTGGCACGTCTTCTGTGCATATCCCATTATGAACTTGCGGTAATAGTTCGCAAGACTAAGGAATGACCTTAACTGCCTTTCTGTTTGAGGTCGTTTGAATTCGGAGACTGCGGTGACCTTTTCAGGGTCCATTCTGATTCCATGTGACCCAGGAATCCCATTTCTCTCATTCCGAATTCACATTTCGTCGGTTTAATCGTGAATCCCGCTTCAACCAAACTCTGTAAGACGTTTATCATATTCTGCATGAAAATCTCCCAAGTCTTTCCAGCGAAGATAACGTCGTCAATGTACCCGAAAACGCAACCCTTTCTTTTCGCTTTCAAAAGTACTTTGTCCATACACAGTTGAAATGTTGCTGGCCCGTTGCAGACTCCAAACGGCATTCTTTTAAATCGAAACATTCCGTCCTGAGTTACAAAGGTCGTCTTATCGATGGAAGCTGGATCCATTGGGATCTGCCAAAATCCACTTTGCAAGTCCATTTTTCCATAATATTTGTTGCCTGCACATGCATCTAGCAACTCATCTGGGTTTGGTAACGGATAATTATTCTTTTTCGTCAGTTTATTCAGCATGATGTAGTTGATGCAGAATCTTGTCTCCATTGTTCCGTCCCCATTTTTCTTCGCTGCAAGCACGACTGGAAAACTCCAGTCAGCATCCGACGGTTCGATGACATCTTGCGCCAGCATCTTTTCAATATGCTTCGTTATGAACTCTCGGCCTGTCCAACTGGTTCTGGCCGGGTTGCATTTAACTGGTCTTGCATCTCCCGTATCAATTACATGGGTGATTCCCTTTACATCGCCGTACGGTTTCCTAGAAGTCGGTAAGACCTTCCAAAATTCCCAGAACGCGTTGTACACGTCATTCTTCTGTTTTTGTGTAAGGTCAGGTCCCAGCTTCAAATTTCCGATGATCTTTGTCAGTTCTGCTTTCGTCGTATCATCCACCTCGGGATCATCGAGCACGTTCTTTACTGTGCCGCTGTTGACCTTTATGCTTTCCATATGCTCGTAGGGCTCTACGTAGCCCAGAAGTTGATTCTTCTTCACTGTCAACCTTTTACTACTATGATTTGCAATGACCAGTTCAAAGTGCTTTCCTCGGTGTTCTGTCACTCCTGTTAATGGCTGTACATCAGTCTCAGCTTGCAGACGGGTGTGAACATCAGTTTCGTTGAGGCAGGTGCATATCTTCCCATCTTGACCTTTACGCGTGTGCAAATTGACAGTTTGAGCTTGATTCGCTGGTCGCTGTAAACTCTAATCACATCTTTATCCAGTCCCGTTCGCTGAATTTTAACTCTTCTAACTTTTATATCTTGTTCCTTTTCCTCATCGACTTTGTCGTCTTCATCCAAGTCTAACATGTCTTCTTGTTCGGAAAGGTCATTTACACCTGAATCTTCTGAAGTCGTTGAGTTATCGCTTGAACTCGTCCATTCCGAGTTTGAGTCACTGCTCTCGCATTCTTGTGCAGTAGCTTGACCTTTGTCAGCCTTTTCAAGTGGAAGTTCATCAACTCCTTCGTCGCCGGATGAAAGGTCACTTTCATTTCCCCGCGAATCGTTAAGTTTTTTCGCTTTCAGATTTTTGAGCAGAGGTTTGCCCGTTTCTTTCGTCTTCCGTCCATATCGTGCGGCGATTCTCGGGTGACTCCGTGCCACTCGGATTTTCGTCGATGACCTTTTTTGTTTCATCCGAGTTTGACTTTTCTTCTTCTTGGTTTGCCCTTTGCAATTCGTCAATCTCCTCGAGGCTCATCAGTGGCCTTTTGGTCTGCTCGACCGGCAGACATTCTTCACCGTTATCGAGTGACCTTTCTCCGTTTTTTGCCTCCGTTACTGGGTCTTGTTGACCTTTCGTTATCTTTTCTACTTCCTCTTGAAACCTTTTCCACATTGCTCCCCTATCGGTTAACATTTGTGCTATTTCAACAGCACTCGGGGAATGTTCTTCTGTTTCATTCGATCTTTCTTCCACTATTGGTGTTTCCTCTTTTTCAGTTTCTTTGTCAGTATCTTTGTCACCTTTATCTGTTTGGACCGTTTCGTAACCTTTAGGTCTTTTGGAACCAACGAAGACGCAATTTGCCATCAGTTCTTCGGTGACAAAGTCATCACTCGGAATCGTTTCATACATACACCACGTATCACCACCACGTTCCGGGTATTCAACTCCGTCAGGGTCTGGTGCAAAGGTCAACTTCTTCTTTATCATAAAACCGGCTTCCCTTATTTTGCGAGTCACTTGTAACTCCCGCATTTCCTTAATGTCAAATATGGGGACTTCGTCTTCGAACTTCTTCCAATACGTTTCAAATATATCCGAGTCGTCATGATGAAGTGCCTTGCAGAATTGCTCGACTGACTCGTAAACGGGTGTGCCGAGTCCTGATGGGAAGTTAATCGTTTTCCCTTGACCTTTATACATGTGGTTGATACGGAAGTCCCAGAATAATTCAATTCTCGCATTTTCCCATAACTGAATCTCTTCGTTCATTTCTTCGTTTTCAATTTCAAGTTTCCGTCTTGACAATATTCTTTCATGAGGGTTCTGGATTCCATTATCTACACACCGTTGCCAATATTGCAACCATTTCCCTCTTCCGTATATGAAATTTCTGACGCAAGAGAGCCACGCTCGATATCTATTCCAATGATATCGTTCAATGTGTGGGTTACACATGCTCACGGTCCGTAAGATGCTCCTCACTTCTTTTAGGATGTGACCTTTAAGGTCTGCTGTCGCTGCATTGCATTTTGGCCATTCCGAAAGGTCATCTTGGGATGCGGCTTGGGTACAATTAGTGCATTCTGTTTGCGGTTGTATTCTACGCTGGTCTTCATAGCAACCGTGGTGACAACTCCCGGCTCTTTCTTCTGGGGTTAATGTCCTTTGCGGATTGACCTTTGCATCAAATTGTGCTGGGGCGCTATGCTCACGTTCAGTTTGAACCGCACTCCCTTCATCTGAGGATATTTCAATAACCTCCGGTCCCGTTTTCTTCTGGTGATCTTTCAATTGTTCAATCGCTTTGCCGCGGATTTCGCTTGCGAACATCTGTTCCTCTTCAGTTATTCGCTTCAATATCTCCCATGGGACTTCTATCTTTTTGTTTGTCCGGATTTTAACACTTTTTACTCCCAGTGCCTCTGGTACTGGGATAGGCTTTGACCATTCCAAGTCCGGTACAAGCGATTGTTTCGCTGCGGCTGCTGCTTCCTTCTGTATTGCCGCTATCTCTTCAAGTGTTGGTGACCTTTCATTTTCGGTTCCCAGTGCCTCTGGTACTGGGAACCAATGGCCACTTTTTGCCATATCTCCTTCCCGTTGCAGCGTTACTGCATCCACAAGTGAGTCATCGGAGTTCTGTTGTGCCGGTTCGCTATTCTTCTGCTGCGCTGTTCGCAGTGTCAAGTCTGTTTCTTGACCTTTTACCACGACGCTGTCGGCGTGACCTTTAGCGTTCGCACTAACTCCCTGACCTTTTACTTGGACTTTTCCCACGGAAGGTGACCTTTGATCTTTCTTTCTCGCAGTCTCGTTCTGCTGTGATGACCTTTGTTCATCCGCCTTGCCGTTTTCTTCCATGTGTTTTCGGAACCACTCATGGTGCGTTTCCACCCCTTCTGGATAATCAGTCTGCGGTTTCTTTTGGTTCAGCAGCGCTTGTTGAATTTTCGCGTTCCGTAATGCGCGTCGTTCTGCTAACATCTTCTCACTGCAATACGGTGACCTTTCAGTTTGCTGCCCTTTTTGCAGTGTCGCGCTACCGTCACGACAATTCCCACTCGCAGTTCCATTCTGCGATGACCTTTGTTCGCGTTGCGCGTTCCCACTTGCAGTACCATTCTTCGGTGACCTTTTGTCCCGTTGCGCGTTCCCACTCGCAGTACATTCTGCGGTGACCTTTTGCCCACTTGCGCATTCCCACTCGCAGTACCATTCTGCGGTGACCTTTTATCCGCTTGTGCTGGTTTCCCGGTAACCAGTTCTTTTTGCTGCTGTGACGGTATCCGTATAGCCGTTCCATTTCCTCTTTGCGTTGACGGCATCCATCTAGCCGGTCCACTTTCCTTCTTCGCTGACGGCATCTGTATAGCCGTCGCAGTGGTCACGTTCACTGCAGTACCATTCTGCAGTGGTGACCTTTCCGTTCCCCCTTTATCCGGTGGTTTAGGGTCGGGGCGATCAGCAGGCTCACCGGCGCCTACTGTTCTTGCCCGTTTCTCTGAACCGGCGCACCTCCTTGTTGTGCGCCTTGTACATTTCCTTGCTGCTGTCCGCCATTGTTTTGGCCGCCTCCATTGTTCTGGGCGCCACCACCACCACCATTGTTGTAGTAGTTACCTTGGCCGCCACCATTTCCGCCGCCTCGGTTACCGCCATAATTCCCGCGGCCATAGCCTCTGCCCCTTTCTCTGAAGCCGCCGCGGCCGTAGCCACCTCGGCCGTAGCCGCCGTTGTTCTGGCCAGCACTATTTCCGTTTCCTTGCTGGTTTTGGAAGTTTGCCCTGTGCTGAAACCATTGGGCGATGAGGTCGTATCCGTTTGCGACTGCTTGGTGCCAACCACCCGTGTTGCGCAACCGTTGCCATTCCCTAAAGGCAAATAAGTTCGGGTTCTGATCTGCTGGCGTGTTGGCAAATTTGCATCCTTGTGTCTGGTGGTTGCCGTACATACAGTACTGGCACATCTGCACGCCGTTTGCCACCCAGTTGTTAATCAGCTGAAACTTGTATTCCGTTCGTGACCCTTGTTGCTGCTGAAAGTTGTTCTGATTTCCTCTGTTGGGCTAAAAGTTGCCTTGACCTTGACCTCGATTCTGCTGGAAGTTTCCTTGACCTCCATTCCAATTCCCGTTACCATTTCCATATCCGCCGAGATTACCTTGTTGCGGTAACCCCATATTCGAGGGAGGCATATTCTGAGGTGGCAGCGGGGCTACATTCTGGGGAGCCACATTCTGGGCTACTGGCCTCACTTGAGCCGCCGCTTGTATAGCAGCCACCATCGCATACGTCATCGGCTGTCCCGTCTGACTGTCAATAGAGGTCACTCTTTCTGTGACCTCTCTGACCGGAGTTTCCGCGCGATATTCCGTTTGCTGCTGAACCGGTGCGGCTGCGCCTCGTTGCTGTGGCACCGGTTCGACCTGACCTTGACGGATGGTTACGTATTCCTGGTTACGTTGACCTTTTGGTGCCTTGTATTTTTCTTCTCCCGTTGCCCAATGTCGGAAAAAGTCTTTCACGTCGGTTGGCGTTTTGCACTTTTGTGCCCGTAATGCCTTGTAAAGGTCATTGTCCACTCTACATCCTTCAATAAGGAACCTGACTGCTTGCTTTTCAGTGATGATTCTCTTTGCATTAAAGCGCATCATCGCCTGGTAATACTGGTCGAGCGATTCTTTTCCCAGTTCGAACTTCCTTGCGTAGGCCTCAAGTAAGCCTAAGACTTCTTCGTCTCGGTCGCCGTATTTATCTTTGAATTTATCCATCCATTCGGTTATCGAATATTCGATTCCGTCTTCCGATGCGATGTCCATTTCTCCCTCAAACCAAGTTTTGGCTGGGCCCTTTACCGCGCTGGCTGTTTCGATCATGATTTGATCGTCAGTAAGCTGGTAGGTTCTTAGGGTTTCCTTGACCAGTCTTTTCCAGCCATTCACAGCGTCGCGACTTCCATCAAAGGTCATATAGGGTCGTTTTCCGGGCCATGGAGTTAAGTGCTTTTGTCAATTCCTTTGCCGACTTCTGATTGTTGTCTTCATCGCTAGAGTCGTCACTATCATCGCTATTTCGACGGCGCCTTGCTGCTTTCTTATTGGATCGTGTTTCACGCTCCTAGCTGCGGGGTCGTTCATCCCGTCGTCCTTCGTCTTCGATGACCTTTGTTTCGACGTGACGGGCGAAGTGTGAGGTTCCATCGAAAGTTGGCGGCCGACTGTGACCTTCTGATGTCCGATCATCGATGACCTTTTCTCCATCTTTTTCCGTCTTGACTGCGTTTCCTTTGCCAGTACCGGTTCGTAGCGGCATCTCGAAATGGAGGCTTTTGCCCGTTTCATGCGCCTTGCTGTAACTGGGCGGAGGTGATTCCACCTTTGCTGTTTTGACTCCATGCTGCAGGAGTGGCTCGTCCTTATGCTTGTTAGACATCTGGAGTGCCTTGTTTTTGTCCTCGAGGCGTCTAACTTTCAAATGGAGGTCATCACGCTCTAACTTCAACTCCGTATTCTCCAGCTTGACCTTTCGCGTATGGTCTTGCCACTTGAAAGTTTCCTTTTGTACAACCCTTTCGGTTTCTTCTTGCGCCTTGTTAATATGTTCGGTCAACTGTTTCACATCTCCTTCAAGTTTCTGGTATTCTCCGGCGGCTGATCTCAGTTGATTCTTGATTGCAATCAACTCAACATCTTTCGCCAGTGCTGTAGTGGTCATCTCGAGTAGTTCAGCATTCAGCTTCGTGATTTCTTGGCTCTTTTCTTTGTCTTTCATTTCCAATGACGTGACCATTATATCCAGTCGTCGTGCTTCTTTTTGCCATTTGAGTCCGTCCTTAGTGACCTTTTGAATGTCTCCCGTGACCTTTTCATTCTCCTGGTTGGCCTTTTTAATTTCTTCTTTCAGGCGTTCTCCTTCAGTGGCTGTAATGTCTCTCGCCTCACGCATCGCCTTGATTGCGTCATCACGTAGTTTTTCTGCTTCATCCGCACGTTTCTGATGACCTTTTGACTCATGTTGCAGAGTACTGATACCTTCCTCTCGCAGCTTCAGATCGTTCCCGAGCTTAAACGTCTCCGTTGCCAGCTTTGTCAACCGTTGTGTAACCTCTGCAAGGTTGGCGGCGTATTCATCCCGTTTAGCTTCTGCTTCGGTAACCTTTTGGCGCAACTGGTCACACTCGTCCTTCAATTCCGCCAAGTGTCGTGACCTTTCCGCTGATTCCTCGGACATACTTTCGTTGAGGTCACTGATGGCGAGATGACCTTCCATTGTTCTATCATCTGCCATCTTCAGATATTCTTTTGCGATTTCTTTCTGGCGCTCATACTTCACTTTCCATTCGTCCGCTGAGCTCTCCAGATAACCCCGTTGCTGTTCCATTTTGAATAACCGAGTCTCGAGTGACATCAGTCTTTCCTGGTATTCTTTCTTCCGTTTGTTCGCCTGCCCGTCCTTGGTGCTAAGTTCATTTTCCAATTCCTGAATGCGTTTCTTCAGAGTTGACGTGGGGCTATTTGGTGATGGTGGTCGTACATTTATGACCTTTCCTGTTTGTGTTCATTCAATTAGATGTTCGGGGATGTTCTTGAATGGGGTCATCCCTTCTGCTCGGTCAGCTTCTCTCATCGCTTTCTGGAAAGACGTGTTCATTGTCGTTTCATCGTCCGTAAAATACGATTCGTTGGATTCGTCCGACAACATTGGAGTTGCCCAAAGGTCATCGCCCATTGCCTTATCATTGAGCGAAAGGTCATCCAACCCGAGTTCCTTCAGTTCCTCCTCAGTGACCTTTGTGTTCTTCTCTTCCGTTTGAGTCAGGGTCACTTTTTTAGCCTGCTCATCTGTTCCAGCAGCGGCCACATCCAACTGTGATGTGCCACCTGCTTCTGTTCCTTTTTCCGAAGACTTTCCTTCTTCGGTGACCTTTGATTGGTTCACCACGTTACCTCCCGCCGCGGACGCGGGGGTATACTTCTAGTCGTCGCTGGAACTTTCCTGGTTAGCGTACGCCTCGAGCGCCTTCTGATAAGTGCTATCAGAGCCCCGCGAGTCATTTCTTGTGGGTGCCTTGGGCGCTCGGGTGCTTCTGTCGTGTTCAACTGCCCGAGTATACGGGTGACGGTCAATCTTGTAGGGGTTCGGCGCGCTTTGCTGTGAACCACGGGAGCCACGGCTTCCCTGACTGCTGTTTGATCCAGTCGATATTGGTTCCACGCTTTTCTTTTCTTTGTCCATATTGATCGGATAACTGGGACGCTCCTGTCAATTGTTCTCACACACACGTAATTAATACGGTATATTCAGTAGCCTTAAAGGTCACTTTTTACTTTGCGAAATTTTTCTAAGTCCTTTGTAAAGGTCACTTTTCGGTTGAAAAAATTTGACCAAGTTCCGTTTAAAGGTCACTTTTTTGGTCAAAACTTCGAGAGGTTTGCCCTAAAGGTCACTTTTCAGACAAAACTTCGAAACCCGTTTTACAGTTTCTGACACGTTTGGAAACAAAATTCTACAGCAGTTAGTATCGCTGAACCGATACAAAGCTCAAATTCTCTGCGCTGAAGGTCCCCGTTGGTCACTTTCAGATCTTAAAGGTCACTTAAAAGGTCATTTAATTTTATTTTAGGTCACTTGAAACTTTATAGTAAAGGTCACTTTCGAATGTTAAAGGTCACGTTCTTATCTCAAAGGTCACTTTCCCATTCAGCTCAACTCAAAAGGTCACTTTCCAATTCAAATAACTCGTCTCAATTCAAATTATTCAGTTCCCATTGAAATCTGTGGAAAATCCCCATAAAGTTGTTTACTTCATTCCTATTGGTCCGCTGGCTCAAATTATTCAGTTCAAATTTCAACCAATCACGGCTCTTATAACCGCCCAATCACGTTTCTCCGTTTAAAATTCTATTCTACCTGACGTCACGGTCAACGACCAGACATGCGCACCGTGTGCAAAACTCCGCATACGTCTATACTCAGCTCTGCGAGGACCAATGAAAATTGCGAATTTTACCAGCTAACCAATCCGAAAATTAATAACGGGTTTTCTACCTGTTTCCCGTCCGTTCCACGAAAAACGCTCCAGATGATCCAAATTTCTTCTCCACACTCCGCTCCCGCGTTGCCGCTTTTCCGTAGCGGTTGTGGCGCCTTCCTACTAGGTGCTGTGCCGGCTGACTGCCGTAGCAACAGCAAGGTGCTCTACACCAGTTTGGTGGAGTCTTACTTCACCGATGATCCGTGCGTCCCTTTTAGCGCTTCGCCGCCTGTGGCCCACGGCCTTGATCCCTTTGTGGGATGCTCGCCGCGTAGCAGGAGTTACAGCGCAAGTTCTCCGTCTGGAGATACTTGCACCGACACTACCCGCCGTCTGAAACTCTTGCACTCTTGCTCAGCGCTGGTTACAGCACAGGTCCCCTCGGGAGACGCTGCACCGACGCCAAGGCTGGTAATCCGTCGACGTGGAAGTTGCACCGCTTGTGGTGTTTGCGCGTTGCTATTCCGCACACACACCAGTGCTTTACTGGTAAACAGGCCAGATTTGCTTGACAACAAATAACAGGCCAGATTTGCCTGACAATTAAATCAATTGAAATTAGATTAGTTGAGAACCGTTAACGATCTGCTACCATATTATGATAGATCAGAATGATCTATATACGGCAACCAGAACTGAACTGATTCCGCGTAGTGAGCAATGCTGTAAAGTATTGCGAGCAGCGAATAACACGCGAAGCCGCACAGCTAATTGCTAACTTTTAATGAATATTGAAAGTTTCGACAAGCGAAAATCAACACTGCGCCACACAGCGCGAACATCGATCGGAGAGCCAAATCCATGCTGCTCCGCACGTGGGCTAAGTCCTGCCCACAAGGCACAACACAATGGACGGCTATAGCCTTCTCAGCCAATCAAAACGAAGCACAACACAGACACGTTATCCAGTGGCGAGTAGCGTCACGAGCGTGAACGCTAAAGAACCCCCGCTCACAGTTGCATAACAGAATACCGTCAAACACATTACCATTTTCGGAATTTCTAGCGCTGTTGTATCTTCTGCGTGCACGTTTACGAAATTATTGCTTTCATTTCGTTATTACTGCGGCAATAAATTACAACATAGCAAACATTTTGGATTTTTAATTTGTCGTATCAGTTTCTCATAGCAAATAATAGTGTGAGCCATGGCTTCACTGGCATTTAACTTCAACCATGGCGCTGCGCTGCATGGCTTGTCTGTGTTGTGTCTCTTCTGATTGGCTGACGCCTAAAGCCGTTCATAGTTTGCACCCAAGTGGGTGGCGCCTAGCGCGGCTGAGAGCGTGATGGATTTGGCTCTCCGATGAGTGTTGTTCAGTCAGTTGTTCAGTCAGTCAGTAAAGTGTTCTCATGCTAGCTGGATGTCGTTTGTTGCACATTTATCCATAGCCGATAGCATAGCACGCTACACAGGATCCTGTCAGTCTGGGTCTCTGTCCTGGATTCATCCTGAGTCCACGGTAACATGTTAGCAGAGCCGTGAACAGACGGTTTCTGGGTTGAATTGTTTATTTGTCTGGCGAACGGCCACATTGATCTGTTGGCGAACGGCCCTAGTGATCTGGATCAATATCGATCTCATCGCACCAGTAATGCACTGGTTTCTTCATCTGATCAAGGCGCACTCATCGATCGGATTGCCAACATCAAAGGCAGCACTGACTAGAGAGTCTCCTGTAGGAGAACTCGTCGTGCACATCCAGTCAGACGGCAGACGGCTGCGGTGCGAAACTCTCCTGTCGGAGAGTTAGTGCTGTTTCCTCTGCTAGGCAGCGGGCACCCCCTGTAGGGGTCAAGGCTGTCGGGCACCAGCGCCGAGAAGCCACGAGTTGGCAGCACCGAAGGAGGTGCCAAGAGTCAGTAAATGCGCTCCATCAAAAGTTTGTAGAGCGACCTGCTGGTAGGCTTGACAAGCCCAGCAGAAGGCTGAAAAGGTCGGATAATGAAGGCTCCACAACCGTACGGAATACGGCTGCGCGGGATCGGAGAAAACAGAGAAGAAAACCGGATCATCTTTTCGTGGAATCGGAACGGTAGACAGGTAAAACCGTTATTAATTATTGGATTGGTTGAGGCGTAAAAAGCTCAATTCTTATTGGTGGATACTGAGCTGAGCTAGACAGAGGCGGAGTTTTTGCACACGGCGCGCAAGTCTGGCCGTCGACCTGTGACGTCAGGCAGGTCAGAAAATTTTAACAGGCACACGTGATTGGTCAGCTAAACGAACTCAGATTGGTCAAAATTTTTACTGGTAAAATTGAGCTAAACGATCTCATAACGATCTCCCCAGCAGTTAAATCGAACTTTTCTCATCGTAAGTGGTCTAATTTCAGTTAAAAGAAGCTGTTTGTAATTGAAGCGAGTTGACCAAAAAGTGACCATCTCTGAGATCGATCAGATCGAGCTCATCAGTCACCTTTGACCTCAGATCAGATCAGATAGTGACCTTTACCAACGAGCAGAAATCATCTATATGAACTGAATACGAACTCGAAAACGATCTTTTAACAGTTTAATTGATATCAGCAGCTGAAGCAATTCATTTTGAGACAAACCTCTCGATCTTTTTGTCGAAAAAGTGACCTTTAAAAACGGACGATCGAATTTGATCAGCTGTAAGGTGATCTCAGGGACTTAAACGATCTCATTATAACGTGTGTGTGAGCAATATTGACAGGTGCGTCACAGTTGTTGGATCATCATGGACAAAGACATCATCGAACCGACTTCTAAAAGCAGCCAGGGAAGCCGAGGCTCCCGAGGCTCACAGCAAGGCGCACCTAAACCTTATGGGAATGATTTTAACTCATACTCACGTCCAGTGGTACATCATCGTACCACTCGAGCTGCCACAACCTTTGCGAGGAAGGACTTGCGAGGTTCAGAGAGCACCTATCAGAAGGCGCTTGAGGCGGCGGAGCATCAGGAGAGCTCCAGTGTTGATCTCAAACGATCTCCCGCGCCTGCGGCGGGAAGCAGTGAGGTGAACCAGGAGGTCACCAAAGAAGGAACGAGCTCGGAACGGGCAACGGAAACGGACCGGACATCACAAAAGATGCCAGCCCTGCCATATCTGAGCAGGATAAGAAGGAGAACCTGGCCACAACCGATTTCAACGAACAGTCGAGGATCACATATGACGATCTCAATGAACTCAGGCTAGATGAGCTCACACTTGGCGACGAAACCGGAACTGAAAATCTCCTCGAGAGCCCAATGGCATTTGATGAGATGAAGTCTAATCGCGGAAATGAAGACCGGCCAATTTGTCCTCGTAATGTATTTGTGGAAAAACGGAGCCACGCCACACCAGTTATCTGTCGAGAAGCAATACCAGCCGCGGTCAATTGGCAACGGTGTGAAACAGATCATCGCTAGTTCACACCATGGGAAAGCGGCCAGCGCTTCCGCAGTATATCATCAAGCCGCTGCAACATGCTCCACACGCGCGGACAATGCAGTTAATCCATACTACCGACACAGTGGCGGCAAGCGATTTGTCTCATACGTCAGAGGACTAAGACGGCAAAACGTTGTGTCAGACTGGATATGACTGGCCTAGCCGAAAATGTTAACATGGTGGCCTGTGAATTTGAATCGGATGGAGCAAAGGTCAACTATATTGTGAGCACTCCTTATTTGCTGTCGCTGATAGCACAAAACGGTAAATGGCGCTTGTGGTAACAAGCTATATATTATTGTGGTCACTTTTAAGGAAGCAATACTGCGTTCAAAGACGTAAAAATATTAGCCCTTTCGCCGCGTTATAGATGAAATAGAAGGTCGTTTTCTGTTACAGACCATAATCCTCTCCAGATCGATGTGACTT